AATAGGCAAAGATGTCCGTGTGTGTGTGAGTTTGTGAGGGAGCTGTTCCATTTGTGCATGTGTATGTGTAGAATCTGCTGTTGATCGACTTTTGCAGGTGTGGTTTAAGCACCTTTGCTTGTTTTCTCTTTCTTTCTGTTTTGCTTCTATTGGGGTAGTCTTACTGGAGTGTAGCAATCTGCTTTACTATTTTTTCCCCCTTTTTCTCGCTCTGGGGTGCACATATGCTCTGGTTCTTCTTGCTCTTCTCCGTGGTGTTTTTGCGTGTCGAGGCGGCTGTGGTGCAGTACAACGTGGAGACGGTGGATGCGGCAGCCGTTGCGGCGCTTCCTGCGGATCACTGGGCGCAATTCAACCAGGACGCCTTTCGTGATGGAAACTGTTCGTTTGTTTCGTTATTCGACGATGCACCTTATTTTGAGGCGATCAATATCACGTCGCCTTTTTTCAGTCGTGATGCGGTGGAATGGTACGTGTCATCAGATGGGTTTCTTGCACCGACACCGTCGCCGATGTGCGACTTCTTCTGCACAGAGGTTGCGCTAAACACGCTCTTTGGGAATTACCAGTTCGGCGACACTGTGTATGGCGGGGGTGGGGACTGGCCGATGATTGGGCTTTATGTTGTGGACCTAAACCCCTCTGCGGCGCAGGTGTCGTGGAGTGTTCGTGTTCTTTCTGTACCTGGAGGTAAGGCAGGTGTCGATCATGTGATTGTGGAGTACCGGGATGTGCCGCTGACGCAAACCACATCCGTGAATGACACCTTAACGGCGCAGGTGGAAGTGTGGACGAATGGCACTATTGTGATGCGGTACAAACATACGCCCACTGGGGTCAATGCCTCTGTTGGACTTGTGCTCTCGCGAGAGGAGCGTGTTGTTGTGGATTTGGTGGCACATACTGGTGGTGTTGCTGGTGTTCGGTATGAGCCGGTGATGGACAACTGCAGCAGTCTCGTGAATGAGTCGGTGTGTCTGGGTAGGGAGGGAACGTGCGGGTGGTGTGCGGCTACGAAGATGTGCGTGGCGACCGCACTAGCTAACAAAAGTTGCCCGCACATCAGCTTTCGTACGCAGTCACCGCCTTTGGCGCTGGATGACGACTACTACGATGTTGTAGTGGAGCAGGGTGCTGAACTGGTAGACGTCCGTGCCTTGGGTGGCCGTGAACTGTTGAATACATCCGTTCAGGCGTTGAGGCTTGAGATGGGGTTTGACTTTCCCTTTTATACGGTGAACCAGACATCCCACGTGACGAACACGACGTACCTTCTGTCATCCGGTCTTATATCTGTGTTTTCGGCGTCGCAGGAGTGTGGGCCGATATGGAATATGTGCCCTAACGGCAACTACAGCTTTACCATCATGCCTTTTGTAGCGACGGAGCAATGGGTGTCGAAAACGTCCGTCACATACGCACTGCTTCCCGAACGCGTGCAAGGCGATGTGCTTTGTAAGAATGTGCGATGCCCCCTGGGGCTGGTGATTGAAGTGGCAAACACGACAGCCATCGCTTCGCGCGTTCGTTCCTCTAATTACCAGATCTACCTGGATGCGAGCGGCGCAGTCGAGTTCCGCTATGGTCTCCCTGTTGCGGCCAGAATTCCCACAGGCCCCGTGGTGGACTTCTTTTCGTTCCCGTCGCCGTTCGTTGGGCTCTTTCGGCACCGTGTGGAGGACCCTGCCACCATCGCCGTTCCGTTGTCGCTGGTGCGCACTGGCACGCGAATTCGATTTGATCCCAGGGGTAAGTGCAACGACTGTGGCCGAAACGGAGTGTGTGACTCCGTCACGTATAAGTGCAGCTGTAACGATGGGTTTACTGGGGATTTCTGCGAGCAGTGCTCCGTGGACCATTACGGCCCTAGATGCCTGCCGTGCGGCGCCTGTGAGAACAAGGGGTTCTGCGACGACGGAGTGAACGGGACAGGGAGCTGTGTTTGTCCCAAACAGTTCAGTGGAAGGAAGTGCGAGGTGTCGTGTGATGAGCCGTTTGACTGCACGGGCTGCAATCTCCGCGGTGGGTACTGTGAGTGCGGTGTGTGCCGGTGCGATACGGCATCCGGGTGGGGCGGTCCTCACTGCGACGTTCTGCTGGACCCTTGCCGACAATACTCATTTGATGGGTGCGAGGTGTGCAGCAACGACACGGCAAATAAATGCACCTTCTGCTTTGACAGCATGTGCTACTCCGCCCTCCTCAATGGAGGCGAGAACGAGTATACATGCTCCCACACGGTGCCGGGGGAAGATGCGTCTCTCTGCGTCCCAGCCGTGCAGAAGGAGATGTCGCAGGTGGATCTGGATTACATCATACTTTTTCTCCTTATCGTCAGCGCATTTGTGTGTTCTGTGCTGTTTGTGGTGTTCACACGTCTTGGTATGCGGCGGTACAGTCTGTACGATATTCATGCTGCCGGTGCCTCCGGGGGTGTACCTGACCACAAGCCTGGTCGTCGTGAGCGCGAGGTGGTACAGGCTGTCTTTGTGCAAAAGAACGCCCTGAAGGATAAGGGACGACATGTGCTTGGGGTTCCGTTGAAGCAAATATCGCTCCAGCGGCTGTACGAGAGCCAGCGCAATGCCCAGTCGAAGCGAGACTAATAGCAAGCATGCCGTCACAGACTTCCCCCATCCCCTCCAGTCGCAACTTTATTTTTTTTTCTCTGACTCTCCGCTTCTGTGCACGTGCTTTGCCACATCCAGCCCTTCTCTCTTGTTTCGTTTTTCTGACCTGCTGCTCTCCTGGAAACACATCTCACAGGGGCAGGAGAATGCTGGGGAGGGAGAAGAATGGGTGCACGAACGTGTATTGGACCCCAGAGAATGTATTTATGTGCATACTGTTTGGTGTCATTTTCTTTTTTCTTAGAGCGCTGCAAACAGCCCCGCACGGAGACCCGTACTCTGTCGGTCATTGTCATATTTGGCCCTGTTGCTCCAACCCAACTCTC